ATTGTACAACTCAACGAACTGATAAATGTAATAGAGTTATAATTGATTGTACTTACGTAGCTGCCATATCTGATAAATAAATAATGTTAAATAATTTCTCCTTCGGAAAAGAATTAAAATTCTCTCTACCACCTTCGATTCCAGCCTACCCTTGATAATGAGTGAAGCACTTTAACATGGACTGGAAATGTCCTGGGAATGTTCTCAGACTTACTTCTGCCAGTTTCTCTGCATTTCTCGAAATCTTCAGAAATCAATAAAGCTAATCAGATTTTATAAGTAAATGGTTGCATATCTGAATCAGAAAGTCACTTTGAGGAAAACACTGTGGTTTGCATTTACGTTCATCTCACTGCATTTTCTTTTCTTTCTTTCTTTCTTTTTTTTGGAACAAATGGAAAGTGGAAAGTGGAAAGGAAGAGACTTGTATCGCAGCCAAATTCTAATTTTCTAAAGTAAAATTAATATTGTTATTTTCAATAAGCAGTTTTCATGTGGGGCATATTGGACAAGTATTTAGCCCGACAGATTAATGGAACCTATCCAAGAACATCACAAATTCTTAAAGTGCCGCCAGAATTAGTATTCACTTCTATTGCATGTAGTTTGGAAACCATTCCTCTGGGAAATGCCACTTGACTCATAATTATTATTATTGTTATTTTATATTGAATAAATCATGGTAGTGTTGTTGTGTAAATGTCTTGCGTACGAGAGGAGATGCTGTCAAGTCACAAGGACCTCAGAGTACACTTAGAAGTATCCTTGCAGTGCACAATAAGGCAGATTTTTGTAGTAACCGCAAAATGTATTTTACACCAAGCTGGTCGGCATATTCTTCAATACAATCCAGCCGAGTGTTCCAATCACTAGTGGAGTGACTTTAAGATATTTCTCCGGCATTTTCTACAATCTTACAATTTCAAACTTCAGATAAGAGTAGTTGCTTAGCATTTCTATTTATTTTACTGTTATACTGCAGGCAGCAGATATAGCCATAGAAATTATTTGCTTGTTCAATTTCGGTTGTGAAGAAAACTGCTCTCTCCAATTTTCGATGTTCAATAACGCGTTAAGTTTGAAAATCATAGTCTCAAACTATCTTTGTCCTGCCGTCTCCTTTCGTTACATGAAAGGTAGATAATTGTACATTTTCTTGGACACATTGTAACCATATATTTTTCACAAGAGCCAGTGGAAATTAAGGGAAACTCAGCCATGTCTTTTGTATTCTCTCTGTGCCAACATTTGGCAGCCACTGATTACACGTGTGACAATCACTTGTGTCGCTCCACAAAGCCTACACATTGGGTCATCTATAGCATTGTAGAACGTTGCTGACTCTGGCTTTCGTGTGTAAGGCTTGTTGCTTCGCTAATGCGATCATCCTTTCAGTCCATATTATCAGGTCACTGAGATTCAACCATTACTGGGAGGCTTCATGGTACTTCCAACCTCCTGTTTCTCTTTCAGATTGCCCACGTAACTGCATATCGAATACGGTGAGCCCTTGCCTATTCGTGTTTCAGCATTCACGGCTCCATACATTCGCAGATTTTTCTTTAAAACATATGTACAAATTATTCGCTGATAACTCTTTCGATTCGTGTATTTTTTCGACAGAACATATTTAAAATATTTTTGTATTATTTTCCTGTTATTTAAGTGACTTAAATCATAATACAGTCCATTTTTATGGTAAAAATTGGCTGTATTGTACATCTTCATTGTAAAAAACAAATGCACAAACATGCGTAGTGCTTGGACTTTGTTCTTTGTTAGGGGCTGCGGCTGGGGTCTTAAAAGTGGTTTATGCTAAGTCTGGGGGCATCATCACAGTTCTGTTTTTAGAAAATGTTTTAAACGTTATATTTTATGTCTTGTTACACATATTTTATACAGTATTTTCAATGGTTGTATCGATCTATGCGTAATTAGAAACGGTTATTGTACGTATGAAAGAAAATTTACGCTAAGTGTATGGTCGCCAATACTATTTTTCAAAATGATTTAAAAGGGACTGAAATCTTTCTAAAGTGATAAGGTTGAAAGTTTAAGGCATGTGAGGTTTTAACAATCAATATAGGTACTAATGAGCACTTTTAGTGGGGTTACAAGTATCCGCGGATTCTAACTATTCGCGAACGATTCTGGTCCCTAACCCACGCGAATACAGGGGACTCACTGTAGTTGGTCACCTTCCTCTCACGCCTTTCTCGCGGAACACTCTTTTTTACTTCTACTTTACCATCCATCAATAGCTAATAGGCACGGTGGAGTAATGGATAGCGGCTTGGATTGAGGAATTGGAGAGCCGAGTTCGAATTCCAGTCGAATCCATTACATTCACATACGTGCTAATACCCTTGGGAAAGGTGTGAATCCTCTTCGTCTCCCTCCAGCTATGGGTAAATAGCAGGACAGACTGGGTTCTATAGCCTTGGATGGCAACTGGTCTAGGAGAAGGAAAACTCCGAATTCAAAACCTGCGGAGGGTCGTTTGAAGACCTTGTGGCACGTAGTGCACCAGGTCTCTGTATTCTGCCTTTCAAAAAGTGTGGATGGTCCTGCACGAAACCTTCACCACTATAATCAAATCTCATGTGCTGTACATGCAGGTCTAGGGACCGCTTGTGAATTCCAAATTCCCATGAAACTCTAATATTGGAGCCGGCTCAACCCACCCCGGGTGAATGCCGTTACAGAACAGGAGGAGGAATAGTTATTTCCGCCATATAGTCCTTCACTTTTCAAGTTTTGCGCCAGAGACCTTCGTTTTACCACGGTTTGAAATTCAGCGCTTTCTTCCGGTTCGATCGTTTGCTGCCAAAGGCTGGAGAGTTAAATTGGTACCGTATATTTCCACGTATAAGGCGACCTATAGATAAGACGAGACGCAAAATCTAGAAAGATTTTCGTAATTCTATCTGATATCCGTAGTATAAGACGACTGCCTGAGACCCATATGACGAAACTGTAAATGACAATCTTTATGATGAGCTCTTTGCATCAGATGGTGATGATCATAATAATATTAATTATGTATGTTTGTTTTTTATTCTCTAATAAGAAATAAAGTTTTTATGGCATAATGATTTGTTGCTTAACACCTAAAAAATGCCGTATAAGGCGGGAGCGTCACTAGTACGCAAGGGGCTACAGAGAGTGTAAGGGAAAACACTGTGTATAGGGGGTTGACGAAGGGATAAAAAGAAGAACGGGGATCAAGACAACAGAAGATGTCGATTGACATTACATTTAAATTTTTGAATTTTATAGTTATCAGGGAAGTAAGTAAGAAGAAGGGAGTTCTACTGTCAGTAAGTACGAGAAAAGATGTTGGAGTAAAAGAATCGGTTACATTTAACTTTTTTGACAGTAAAAGGGTGGGACCGCGATACCAACATAGTTCCACGCTTAAATTCATGCAGTCGGAACACCACATCTAGGTTTGCGACCGGTTAATACCACTCGCAAGCCTAGATGTGGGAGGCATCTCGACGTTTCAGTATTCTTGAGAACCTGTTAAATTCGCGCCGTTTTTGGGCTTATATTTAAAACACAGACAAAGGCAATCCATCACTTTCAGAATGTCCCGCCCACGAAGCACTCGGGTCAATCGCTGACCATTTTGTTCCTGGCCTTCGCATTCTGTAACCATATATGATTCTACTGGACATAAAGTGGAGGATCAGTCTTGTATTGCTATTAAAAACTAAATGGCCCTCTTATCATTAAAGGCGTTAGTTAGCTCCAGTGACAGGACCCAAAAGAGTATGAGTTCATTACCTGGTTAAGGCTTGGAGAGGGGAATTAACAGGAAATAACTGATAACTGACATCCATAAGACATGGTACGTGGAACTAGAACAGTCTACCCAAGCGAGCGAAATAAAGGGTCCTGTTCGACATTCCAACCACCTGAAGAAGGCCGGAGCATACAGCGGCCGAAACGTTGTGATAAATCTGGCAACAAAGATGAGGATGATAGTCCGAACAATGTAAATAGGGTACATAATACCTCATCTCAGAAATATAGATAGATAATGTAACTATTGTAAAATTATTTCCATGAATCATATTTGAAAGCCTTAAACTTAAAAAAAATAGGCCTTAATTTTAGACTGCATGAATGAACTTATACTGCTGGACATAAAGTCGGTTGGTCGTTTTTCCATTCTTATTAAGCAATAAACTAGACCCCGGAATTAATATATAGTCATATGTTAATTGGGAAAATATATTTAAATACATAAATTACTAATAATTCTAATAATAACTCATATTTAAGGGTATGGTACTGTTATGGTAATTTACCCACGCACGCAATGGACTCTCCCAGCTATAAATAGGAGCAGGTACTGCCTTTTGGAGAGTGAAGTTTCCAGCAGTCAGTTCTGACAGTCGGACCGAAGATTCTTGCTGCAACACTCTCGTTTGTATATGTTTGTATTACTGTTTTTTTTTTTTTTAATACATTTGTTTAACTCAGTTCTTCTCTTGTGTCTTTAATTCTGGCCCTAACAAGGCTACAACAGGTACTGAACGTAAAGTAGGAGGGGCGGTTAAAGTAGGAGGGGGGAGTTTTCCAGTTTTATAAAGTAACAAATTGCCCCCCCCCCGAATTACTACGATGATTAAAATTCGTGAAGATGCGGAACAAAGAGGAAAGTTCATCAGAAAAATTACCAAGAAAATATTTACAGAAACTTTACAGGCAAGCTACATTACGGCAATTGGAAAGTGACTGAAGCCGGAATGCCAGTTCAGGACTCATAATATTGCAGATTCTTCAGATATTATCAAGAATTTTTTTTTTTTTTTTTTAGTTTTAAGGTTTAGAGAATTTTAGAAGAAAAAGAAAAATATTTTTTGAAAGTGTCGTAAAAACAATGAATATTTAATAAATAATTATTTTTTTGTCTTTTATTTTCAGGGAATATTAAACTATCAAACGAAGAAGATTCCATAGATAAAGAATATTCACCAGCTGCTCATCTCATGGGAAATGTAGAAAAAGACATGCAAGCTACAGGTTTGATTGCTATTTTTTATTATTTCATTTGTCATTTTACACGTTGTCAATGAACTAGAAAATAGGCCTGACAATAGTGATGAATACAGTTAACTGTAAATAAATTTTTTTACTAATATATGACTGGTAGTAGAGTGCTTCTGAACTGAGCCAACAATTCTTCAACTTCTAAAGGGTGTTCCAATAAATTGGACCGATTTTAAATGTGAATGAAGTGTAAGAGTCTAGTGATTTTTTTTCTTTTTCTTTCAGATTTAACAACTTAAACCTTTGGCAATTTCAACCACGGAAAGTTTAACAATCAAACTACGTGTTAAAGTTTCAAGAGTGTAATTGAAAAAATTGTTCGTAAATTCAAACAAACTGGGTCGGTGGCAGATGTGAAAACACCATTGCGTGCTCATTTACGCCGTTCAACTGAAACATTGCTGCAGTGCACGAGAATGTGGCCGAAAATCCAGACACCTCTACTCATAACCGCGAACAGAAATTGAACCCCTCCACAACAACGTTACATCGTTTCCAAATGCACTCTCGGTTGGCCGATTATATTGAAAAAATAAATCGCAAAGTGCGTAAATGCATTTCAGTTCGAACGTCCATTTTCGTAATAGGCATCGATAACTTTAACACGTTGTGTGATTATTAATCTCTCCATGGTTGAAATTGGCAAAGACTTAAATTGTTAAATCTGAAAGAAAAAAATTCATTAGACGCTTAAACCTAATTCACATTTAAAATCGGTCCAAGTCATTGGAACACGCTTTATATGCCTTCAAGATATAGGCGAACATGGTTCTCCACAACTTTTTTTTTTTAGCTCTGGGTAAGTTTTGTCGTTTTGCTATCTCACTTTGTCTTCTGACCATCTTGACATCGATGTAGCCTCCAAATTCAAATATACGGTCTTTCACTCAAACTGATGGGACCCCACTCCACCGCGATTGACTATGTCCAGGGTTGTAGCCGTCCTCATCCCGCTTGTCTATTTGCGGGTTGGTGAGGGTATTTAACCCATAGTTGTAAGTTTTGTATTGTCCCTCTTGACTTTAATATATCCACCAAATCCAGGGTCTTTCCACTCCTGTTTGATGGAGGCCCCACCCCTGATTGACCATGTCTATCAGGGGTGTAACCGATATCATCAGACCCATTTGTGGGTATTTAACCCCTAGTTGGAAGTTTTGAAGTCAGAGTTGTGCTTCTACTAGACCAGGGATCGGCTACCTTTTGAAAAGAGCGGACTAGACATCTATGGAGTGTTTGGGAAGAGAGCCACGAATATCAAATATACCAAAAATAAATGGTCTCGATCTCGGATTGCTTTGTCCAGAAAGCTGCCTTGGTCTGGGTGTTTAAATAAAAATGATGTTAATGATATATTATTTAAACAAAGTTCCTTATTTTACCACAGGAATAACAGGACAACAGAAAATTTAAATTCCTTAATAAAATTTCCATCCTAAACACCATTCTATCTACTTCGCTATGTAGATTATAAGTTGCCCCGCTTGCCTCCGATCTGCCTTGTGAGTATCAAATTTTCCAGGCCCTATGTGCCCTAGAAATTCTCTGTCTCTTTCTAGTGTCACGTATAAGTGTCCATTTTTGTTTCCATTTTCTCTAAAACTTCGTCGTATTTCACATGTTCTGCTCATGATATTCTCAGTATGCTTCTGTAGAATCACATCTCTCTTACCTGAGGATTCTTCTTCGTCTGTGATCTGAGTTCCCAGAATTTACTGCCATACAAGAAGAATGAGAGGACACTACCTTGTCTTAGGCGCCTGAAAAGTGCACTGAAAATATTTTGATCAGAACAAAAATGACTTTTGATCAAAATGTGTTTATAGGCTTCGTAGTTATCTCTGAAAATCTTACATATTGGAACGATGGAAAATGTCACGAAGGCATTTCTGAATAGTGAAAATTACGTTAGAAACAAAGAAATGTGTGCTGAACTGCTATGTAATATCAATCCTTGAATATCGCAGTGAATACTGAACTACAGAGTATCTATTAAGTCTCTACAATTTAAAAAAATATAGCAAAATCGAATTAACAAATATATGGAAATTGTTACAAAATAAGGAGAAAATTTTTTTTAACTAATTTAATACTCCTCTATATGAACACCATTAGTTGTACGAAGCACATCAAGTCAGTACTTGTTTTATGTTATGGGGTCCTCCCCTTTTTCATATAAGTGAACTCGTTACTTGGACTGCTGCCGTTATATACCCAGAGTCAGTCAGAATATAGAGAGAGATATTGGGAGAATGAGCAGAGATTGTGATTTTGATTGAGATTGAGTTGGAGGTAGAGTAATAGTGTGAGGTAACCGCTTGTAGAAGTCAGTTAAAAGCACGTAGACTCTAAGGAAATCCTAGACTGTATATATATATATATATTATTAGTGCGACTAACCGAGTTCCTGGATTTACTAACAGTATTACTCATTGTATTATTGTGTAGATACATTTAATTTCTTATTCTTAATTCTTGCGTTTGTCATTCATTGGAGACCGAATTTCATCTCGGAATCCGCAACAATTTACACGATCGATATTTTCCTCCGATGATCTTGCTCGTCCACACCTTTCTGACTCCATAAATTTCTTGTGACATGGGGGAATTGGTGGACGTGTCAGTGGATTTCTTCCATACTTAGTTCTATAGTTTCGCTGAGTGCGTATCCAATTTTGTTTCAATAAACCATGACACACATTGTGCCTTTTTCTGAAGAGTAGACATTTTTAGGGGTTCATTTAACAGTACCTCTTTCATCAACAGGATACCCGAAATACACAAATGCAATGTGATTAAAAACTTTGATAACTACTGAATACATAGAACAAATCGGATTAAGATATCAATTGTCTTTGTAATCTATTTTTTAAACTGTAAAGAGACTTTATGTATACCTTGTATTTTCTCAGATAAAGCGCAGTATATATGAAGAGAGGACATGAGTCAACAGAAGTGTTGTTCTACTAAAAAAATGTTTCAATAATGGAATAACATATTGCTGAATTGCTATGTAATAAATTCATGTGTTTCAAGGTAGTAAATCCTGAACAATTTCCCTTAAGAATGAGACGGAAACTTGAAGCAATAAACTTGTGGTTTTATGGACGAATGTCCCCAGAAACAAATAAAAGATTGCTGAACTGCTACATAATATCAGTTTTCTTACATGGTAGTTAATGCTGGACAATTTCTTTACATGATAAATAGAAATGGCGTTCTACAAGTGGATGTTGAAAATATCATTGACAGAAAAATGTAAGAAATGAGGAACTGTTTGGAAAAATGGCTACGATAAAAATATTTTCTGATGTTAAACGCTCAATCATTTTAACTTTCTTTCGGTCGACGAATGTGAGTTATCACGTCCGTAATGTTCGTTGTATTCGAGACTTTGGATCGCAGATACTGGTAGTAGTAACGCCATCAAATAATACTCGCTCTAATAATCAGTCAGTCAGTTATGTGCCATGCTTGATACACACGTAGGCGATCATGTATCTTTCGATACATGACTGATGTGGCAGATTCTTTCGCGCAATAGGTTGCAATTTCTTTCTGCGGTAGACCAGTTGCCATCCAAGGCTATAGAACCTGGTCTGTCCTGCTATTTACCCATAGCTGCGAGGAGAAGAAGAGGATTCATACCTTTCCTAAGAGTATTTGCGCGGAAGTGAATATCAGTCAGTTAGGTGCCATGCGTGATACATGCTTAGGCGATCATGTATCTTTCGATACATGATTGACGAGGCAGATTTTTTCCCGCAGTAGATTGCCATTTCTTTCTGCAGTAGACCAGATGCCATCCAAGGCTATAGAACCCAGTCTGTCCTACTATTTACCGATAGATGAGGAGAAGAAGAGGATTCATACCTTTCCCAATGGTATTTGCGCATAAGTGAATATCAGTCAGTTACGTGCCATGCATGATATACGCTTAGGTGATCATGTATCGTTCGATACATGACTGACTTTTCCACAGTAAGTTGCCATTTCTACGGTAGACAAGTTGCCATCCAAGACTATATATCCCGATGTGTCTTGCTATTTACCCATAGCTGGTGGGTGAAGAAGAGGATTCATACCTTTCCGAGGGTATTAGCACGTATGTGAATGTAATGGATTCGACTGGAATTCGAACTCGGCTCTCCGATTACTCAATCCGAGTCGCAATACTCCACCGTAATACTTTTTCAAATAGTAATCACCGAATAGTAATTCGTATAGTGATCAGTAGAGAGAAATAGTATAGTGGATAGTATAGAGAATAGCGATCACTTAGAAGTCACGCTAATTCCCATTTATACATTTCTTTTACGATCACATGATCTACTTATTTAATAATGGAATCGTCCGTGTTTGCTCCCTGGTGATCTGTGTTCAAACTACGATGTCGGCGACAACACTATATTTCTATACAATAAAATACTTGTGCTTAAGACCAGAAAGAGACGGTTGAAATGCCTGGGAGGCATAATGAAGAAAATTCACTTCGAGAACTTGACACTCAAAACATATATCGGGGCAAGGTTGGTAGAGGGAGACAGTGAGCAATCTACTTAACATGTTTGTGTAAATTGATTGCAAAACAGGGATTAGGGGGTGGAGAATAAGGAGACACATATTGCTTAGAGCTACAAAGCATAAGAAGTTGGGAAGATTCATGAACAACCACGTTCTGAAAGAACAATGAATAGAAGAAGAAAATTGGTCTCTGGAATCAAGCTAAATTTTTTCATTGCTCAGTATAAAATAGAATAACACTCACCAGTTTTAAAATTACGGGTGTTATTGCAAGGAAAGATGATTCGCTGTGTATAATTAGATAGTTTTTCTGTCCGAATTTATCTGACACATTTATATGTCTACCATTCGTTCTTGCTTTGAATTTACTACCGCATCTGGTCTGTTGCTTCTTCTATGTATGTAGATATTTTTAATAAAATACAAATCCTGCAATGTTATAGAATCTG